TGTGGTCTATCATTAAGCAAAACATCGTGATGTGATGCATGACTGTCTCTGTTGAGCTTTAAACTAACAGAAACCTTAGCAAAGTCCTCTCAATCTGGCCCCATCATGCCACACACCCCCTTTTCTTCGCTGGTCCCAGCGTGGTGGCTCTATCCATACATGCTTGCTCAAGGAGATAGTTCAAATGCCCCTAAAGCCTCCCTGGGTTCTTCTGGCAGAATTCACTCTTCTCTCTGTGCCGAACCCCATTATCCACCCTGCAAATACAGCACTTCAAGCCCCCAATGATCACAACCCACACCTGCATCTCCTGCTGATCAAGGGATCAGAGAGGGCAGGGATTATGTCTTACCTATGAGTCCAGGACACTTGGCACCAGCCAGGTGTTCCAAAATGGATAAAAAATTAAATGAATAAATATCCACTACGTACACGAAGAAACACCCACTGTGTCCAGGCTGGAGGGCAGTGGTGCAATCATGGCTCACTGCAGCCTCAACCTCCTGGCCTCAAGCAATCCTCCTGGCTCAGCCTCCTGAGTAGCTTGGAGACACAGATGCCCCCACCATGCCCAGCTAATTTTTTAATATTTTTTGTAGAGAAAAGGTTTCCCTATGTTGCCCAGGGTGGTTTTAAACTCCTGAGCTCAAATAATCCTCCTACCTCAGCCTCTCAAAGTGCTGGGATTACAGGCATGAGCCACTGTGCCTGGGCAAAAAGTGACATTTTAATTTTAATTTTTCTTTATTTTTCTTTCTTTCTTTCTTCTTATTTTTGAGACTGAGTTTCACTTTTGTTGCCCAGGCTGGAGTGCAATGGTGCAGTCTTGGCTCAGGTTCAAATGATTCTCCCAGGTTCAAGTGATTCTCCTGCCTCAGCCTCCCGAGTGGCTGGAATTACAGGCATGTGTCACCACACCTAGCTAATTTTTGTATTTTTAGTAGAGATGGGGTTTCACCATGTTTGCCAGGCTGGTCTTGAACTTCTGACCTCAGGTGATCCACCTGCCTCAGCCTCCCAAAGTGCTGGGATTACAGGCTTGAGTCACTGTGCTCAGCCAAAAGTTACATTTTTCAGTAACAACTTTCTATGGTTATATATCAAAACCCTGTCATCTGGATTCTAATGGCAAAATTCCTAAATTCAAATAAATAGCTGGTATCAGAATAGATGTAATTCTAGCTCAAAGCAAAAATAAATTATATGTATATATAAGTTATATATACATTATATGTAAGTTATATATATATATAATATATGTCTATATATATATGTTTTATTTGGCTTATTCAATCTTGTCATCTTTAAAAAAATAACTTTCACTAAACTATTTTCTTAAGAACTAATAGAAATGTGGACATTTCTACCTTCCCTGATAACTAGAGACCTGTGTCTTGGGATGGGACCACAGCACCTCCCTTTTTGAGCTTCACGTGTTTCCACCTTCGGGATGAGAGTTTCATGTCTAGTTATGGCAGCCGTCTGAATGGAAACAACTCTGACAGCAGTAACACCACATGAGCATTCTCAGTATAACTGTCAAATGCCACAGGTAGAAGACAGACCTAAGTGGCTCTAATACGTCCCATTTTAAATTAAAACAGCTTCTACATTTTAGATTTCAGCCCGTAAGGAATCCCCAGGCCACTCCCCACACAGGTTGCATCTCTGATTGACACAGTGAACATGGGGTCGGCACTCGCGGTGGGATAACGGCAGCCCTATTTCAAAATGCGTGTCCACAGTCCTTTCTCTCCTGCCCGTGCTCCAGCATGGAATCTGGTTATATACTTACATGTCACTATTTTGCGCATAAATGTTCGGCTTTACACTTGGTCTTCTAAAGTTAGATTTCCCACTAATCCAAATGGAACCACGTGAGCTATCTGGTGGTTCTCACCACCCCCCAGTTCCCAAGGCCTGGCACAGCACCTGGAGCGTGTGATGGGTCCCCAGGCACAGGCTCTTGGGACCCCCAGAAAATCACTAAGAAGCCACCGGGCACCCTGCAAGCAAGGAAACCCTGGAGAACCTTCTTCGGGGGAGGGCCATATTAGCAATTGCCAGGCAGATCCCTTTCACGCTGAAATACGTCTAAGGAACGCAGGTGAGTGGACAGTACATCTCTGGCTGTGGAGGTCTCGGCACGTTCCTCCTGCTCTTGGGCACCCGGAACACCTTGGTGGTGTGGGATGTGGACAGGGACGCAGCGACAGTCGTTAGCAAACCTGCTGAACCACACATATCATTTCTGAGTGCCTCTCTTGAGATAAACGTTCCTCAGAAGACATTTAGGGAAAACTGCCCAAACTCTGTTTTTACTCCTGCCGTTCTAAACCCAAACTTAGAAGCAAAATGAGAACGAGCCAGGCCTGCTGACTGCCTGCCACATGACAGGTACTTCACATATGTTCTTCCACTTGAACTTGGAGGTAAACTATTTTTATCTCCATTATACAGATGCGGTAAATGAGGCCTGCTCAGGTCAGAAATAGAGCTGACATTTCAGCTCCAGGACGCCTGACTCCAAATGCCTTGCTTTTTCCTCCAGCCTTGGTCTCCTTGACGTAAAGTTACTTCAGCACTTCACCGTAATTGTGTAGTAACTATTTTTGTAAGAGTGCCTCCCTCTTAAGACAATTTTCTTCCTTCCCATGTCTGCGCCCCCTACCAAGAAAAGGACCGTTGCAACTCCTCTGGCCACAGACTCGGGGCTCCTCCCCGCGGCCTGCCCCCAGCTTGGGGTGACCTGCAGCACACACAGAGGGGAAGGCGCGCCACCCAAGCCATCGCGGAACCCGGACACCTCCTCCCTTCTCAATCTGCAACAAGGCAGGTGCTTCCTTCTCTTCATGCCACAGTGAGCTATGGACAGAGGTTGAAATATTTTCAACATTTCCATTTTTAGTAGACTTGTGAAAAAAATCACAGCTGTGTCACTGTTTTTTTGGTATTCTCAGCAACCTCTTTTGGAGAACACAATGCTAGCTTCTTCCTTTCACATCCACTGACTTCAATTAGGCTTTTGGTTTCAATTTGAGTGGCTTATTTGTCTTTACTACAATTTCCTAGAAATAGAAAACTAAAACAACAGTAACAAAAATGAAAGCCTCAGCAAAAAGGCCAGGGAGAATGAACTATCTCAAGGGTAAGCACACAAGCTATGGCCTCTGACTGCAGAGACTGTGAATGTCCCCCCAGGCATTGTTGGCTGAGGGGGATCCATTCAATCAGTTCAAAAGATGTCCTTTCAGGCAAGAGGAGGTGATTTTACCAAAGCTAATTACGGAATCCATCTTGACAGGGTCTACTGTCCTAACTCACCTAGAAATGACAATGAGCCCCATTCACTGTGTTAATAGGATGGAGATCGATCTCCCTCCCATCCTTCTCCACCTCAGAAAAATGTCAAAAGCAACTCCCTTTCCTTCAGGTTGGAGCTAGATTCCCAGTGCTTTAATGAGGCACATTTCTTGGACGGCAGCTACAGTTACTGAGATCAATGCACTTCAATCCGTGAGCCAGATTAGCTCTTCTGGGTCCTGCACTAAACTAGGTACTAGATGGATAAAGAATGGGCCACAAATTCTTCTGCCCTTATGAAAGTCTGAATCTAGCATAAACAAGAAACAGAAGGCACAGACTTAAATGTCTGTAAAGCTCCCTCTCCTTATCTATAAAAGATAAAAATATTTGCTGTGCCTACGTACCAAGGGCATGATGAGGCACACATGAAATAAAGTCTGAAAGCTATGCAAGAAAGATGAAGGCATCCGTGTACAGGGTGGGACAGACTGAGTGACAGATTATAATGCAGGCATTTGAAAAACTCACAGGGAATCTGTCTACACCATCCACATGTAACAGCGGTTAAATTCAGAAGCAATTTTGTTTTTTGAAGACAGTTTTTCATTTTTCTTTTCTGTACTTTTTAAAATGATAAATGTTGTGTTTTGTTTTTCAGCTTTATTCAGTTATAATTGATAAAGTGTCCATTTTATACTTAAAATTAACAGTGTGATGCTTTGAGATATATATATATATTTCGCAGACACGTATATACCGTAAAACCATCAACTAATTAAATATCCATCATCTCACATAGTTACCAATTTGTGAGTGTGTAATGAGAATACTTAAGATCTATCTTCATAGAAAATTGTAAGTATACAAAACAGTATGATCAACTATAGTTATCATGCTGTAGGTTAGGTCTCTAGAACTTATTCAACTTGCATAATTGCAACTTCAGACCCTCTGACCTACATCTCCTCCCTCCCTGCGAACTCCTGGCAACTCCCATCCTACTTCCTGCTTCTATGCACTCACTTTATTTTTCCGTTCCTTGAATGGACAGAAAAAATAAGTAAAATTCAATGAGATTAACCAAAAGTAAATTTCACACATTCATTTATCTTTTCTGATAGATAAAATTTAAGGTCTGAGTTTGACCCAAACCTCAAACTTCTTGACTTGGAAGTCCGTATATTCATTAAGCCCCAGAGGATCATCTGGCCCCAAAAGAATGTTGGCTACATCCTAACAAATATCAAATGTGATTTAAAAATATCGACTTTCTAGTTTAGCACAAAACCAGTGAATGATGACGCTAATGACTGATTAGCTACACACAATCACTAGCACTGCCACAACCCCAGGCATGTTGATTATTGAAATACATTTGATATAAGGTGTGGAAGCTTTTGCTGTGCAGCACGGAGAACATGTGCCATGATGCATTCTGTGAATTGTTATTACTAGCTTCTAAAATTCTGTATACGCAACTGCTTTAGCACCACAAGCAACTGTAATGGAAATCTTCGACTTTGGGAGCCTGCCTGACTTACAGAATTCTTCCAAGAACCGTGTGAAGTCCTCAACAAGAAGACTCCACTGTCAGGCAAAATTTAGTCCAAAGGTTTGCCTAGTATATCTGAAAACGAAAGCAAAATGCTCATCCTAAAATCACTGTGACATATATTGTAGCCAAGAAGACCAACCAGGGTACAGAAGATGCATTGGCACTGGGCGATGGTTGTCATCTGCTCCACTGGGTACTCCCCGAGACAGAGCTTGCAAGACACCAGCGGGTCGAGGGCCAGGTCCCAGGTGGGCCGGTACCTTGCTGTGGTCATCGCAGAACAGTCTGAAATGAGAGAAGCATGGAAGGTCAGACCTCCGCACCCCTGGCATCCACCTGTTCTGTGGTAGGAGTCATGTCTCCTGGCTGTAGCTGGGGCCCAGGGTGGCGGCCAACTGACTGTTGATGGGGCTCAGAGCATCTGGATGCTCTGAGAGGTTTGTTTGTTTGTTTTTTTTTTTTTTTTTTTTTTAAATGGAGTCTCACTCTGTCACCCAGGCTGTTGTGCAGTGGTGTGATCTCGGCTCACTGCAACCTCCACCTCTTGGGTTCAAGTAATTCTTCTGCCTCAGCTTCCCAAGTACCTGAGACTTTAGGCACAGGCCACCACACCTGGCTTTTTGTATTTTTAGTAGAGATGGGGTTTCACAATGTTAGCCAGGATGGTCTTGATCTCCTGACCTCGTGGTCCACCCACCTCGGCCTCTCAAGCTCTGAGAAATTTTAACCAGGGGTGCCTGGCTTGGGTCTGTGAGTGGCTTCCTTACCATTCTAATAGTAACTTTCATGTCTACCCTCAGAATGCCAAAGGACTCACCCGTATACCCATCCTTCCCTTCCTCCCACTGATGTGCATTTTAGTAAGACCCTGCCAACCTGGCTCCTAACCCAGGAGGGTGAAACCTTAGCCATCTCAGAAGAGAAGCTTTTGCTAAATTACTTATTGCTTGGATTTAACTGTTCTCCAGTGTTAAAGACATGGCAAATATGAGGACAAGCCTGAGTGAGAGGGTCAGAGCAGAAAGCCTTGGTGGGGGCAGTGAGGCTTGAGTTTTCAGGGCAGCTGGAAAGGAGATGGACATTGAACAGAAGGAAGAAATGTCACAGCATCTTTCACTAGAAGACAGGGTACAAGGGTCACATGGAGGGGCAGGACCAGCACTATGCTCTGTGATCAGACAGAATTCCATTTCTAAAACTCCCTCTGCCTATAAGCAAACACTTCCCTAACCACTCTCAGCCTCAGTTGGCTCATCCATGCCATCGGGCGATAATCCCCTTTCACAGAGGTGTCCTGAGGATGGGACGATATCATATAAAGGGTTGGCCACACACAGCGAGTGCTCACGAAAATCCCTTCCTCCCTGTGGTGGTTAATACTGAGCGTCAACCTGATTGGATTGAAGGATGCAAAGTACTGTTCCTGGGTGTGTCTGTGAGGGTGCTGCCATTTGAGTCAGTGGACTGGGAGAGGCAGACCCGCCCTCAGCCAGGGTGGGCACCATCTAATCAGCTGCCAGCACAGCCAGAATAAAAAGCAGGCAGAAAAATGTGGGAAGACTAGACTGGCTGAATCTTCTGTCCTCCATAGTTCTCCCATGCTGGGCTTTCTGCCCTCAAATATCAAACTCCGAGTTCCTCAGCTCTGGGATTCTTGGACCTTCGACCACAGACTAAAGGCTGCACTCCTGGTTCCCTACTTTTGAGGTCTGGGGGCTTGGATTGGTGTCCTTGCTTCTCAGCTTGCGGACGTCCTATTGTGGGACTTCACCTTGTGATCATGTGAGTCAATACTACATAATAAACTCCCCTTTATCTAAACATCTATTTTATTAGTTCTGTCCCTCTGTAGAACCCCAAGTAAATCATTCCCCTTCCCTTGTGATGTCTCCTTCAGCCACAGCTTAGCTGGCAGAGAATGTGGTGATGCCGCTTTGCACACAGGTGAGTGTGGGACTTACTGTCACTTGAGTAGTGGATTTCCAGGGTCAAGGAGCTGTCCTGACCTAAAAAAAAAATCACAACATCCCTTTCTCAATTTTTGTGACTCACAGCTCCTCCGGTGCCACTGAGCGAACATTTGGTTAGGAAAACCCACCTGCTGAGTTCTACATGGCACCAGGAGGGAGAAGACACACACGTGTGGCCCAGAAGGAAATGCCTGCAGGGTCCTGAAAGCTTACTCGGCAGATGGGACCCAGTGACACAGGACAAAGGATGTGAGAGGCGGAAATGAGCCAGATTCGGGGAGGAGACCCTGCTACCAGAGTTCAAGCCACTGAGGGGGCGGCTGAAGGCGGCCTGGGGTCTGCCCTGGGAATCCGCGCAGGCCTGCGGCATCGGGGGCGGGAGTGGGCAGCAGTCGGAGGGGTCTCTTCCAAGGGCAGCTGATGCCTGTGAGTCACTCAGGCTAAAATATATGTGTCTTCCTAGTTACAGAAGGACTCCTTGACACAAATTCCAGTAGCTTTGGGCTGGCTGGCACTTTCAAGATAATGTAAACAAGCATCCTGATTTGACCTCAAGCTGGTGGGTCCTGAGGAGTGAGATAACTAAAGACATCACGCAGCTCTCTGGGGCTGCAGGGGGTACAGATATCAAGGAGTCTCTCCTCCTCAAGGTCATTTTCATTCGGATCACTTCTCTACACCTTGAATTTTATGATTATGCTTATGCTTAACGTTTGTCATTGTTTTAAATCTCTACATGGGTTTTTCTGGGTCCTAAGCTGATGGGCCATGACATTTTTCTTTATATTTCTTTGTATCTTTTTCTGTTTTAATACTTAATAATTTTTTCAAGTAGCATCTCTTAAAGTTCACTGGACAATGTGATAATTATGTTTTAAAATGTTAGCTGGCCCTAACTGGATCACAGACCTCAGCCCTGGGCACCGAGGCTTGAGGCAGGCTGCAGAAATCAGTCAAGACTGGAAATGTTTCAAGAGGCCTGGGGCTGCCAACTGGCTCCTCTGGCCTGGAGACCTGGGGAGAGCTTGCTGTTGATCATGCTGAAAAAGCACAGGGTACGGGTTCTGTCGAGCTGCAGGGGAAGTTGTAGGGTAAAGAGTTCGCGCTTTGCAATCAAGCAGTCTGGGCTTCAAATTCCTTTTTTTTTTGGCCACTTGGTTATGTGATGTTGAAGAAATTGCATAACTTACTTAACTTCTGCGAACTTCATTTTTGTTTTTGTTTTTGTTTTCCCCCTCTGTAATATATTTACAAGTTTCTGAGAGATACTACGAGCTTGGTAAGCTGAAGTCATTACGATGTGTCAGGTTCACAAGCTTAGACTTTAACCTACGTAGATGAAATGGATAAAACAAGTTCTTGGGCAGACATCATATGGTAAAATTAGTCATTTAGGAAGGTCAATCCAGTGGAGAAAATTTTTAGAAGAATCAAACATCAAAAACTCCTAAAACCTCCTCCCTTATAGTCAGCCACGCGGTAATGCTCCCAGCCTGGATGTCACCGAAGAACGCATTACCAAATGGCAGAGCCTAACTGCCCCACATGGGGCCCCTGAATCCCCACCTCCATCCCATGGGAACAGCTCCCTGCCCACAAGCCAGCTACAGCCTCTGTCCTGGACCACTGCCCTGCTCCACCGTGCTTGTTCCTTAGACAATTCTCTCTCCTTCCAGCTTCAGATCTGGGCTCCTTTTCCTGTTTACAGCCTCTCTGCCGTGACCCCTGGCACAGTGTACAGGGCTCCATCTGTCTGACTTCCTTTCTGTCTGGACCATGATTTCTTATTCAGCCCCCAGTGGCTTCCCCTGCCCTGGGCACAGGTCAGCCTGTGGTCCTCACCTCCCACTCTCCCACCAAGCCCCATAAGCTAGATATGAAGCAGGTCACATTTCTATTTCCAGGAATCATATCACTATTCTTTCCCCAACAGAATACACAGCCTCTGAGCTGTGCTGACAATCATGATTCAAACGGTGACAACAGGATATATTTTACAGAAAAAAACAGGTCTATATTGTCTAAACCCATCACGGACCTTCCCTACACACAGGATGGCCTTAATATGATTTTGCAAACAGTCAACAGCTGCGAACTTGCCATCGGATTGTGCTACGAGAATCACAAGTCACAATAAAAGAAAGCCCAGTCTTTGTTTTCCTAAGGTGAATGTCAAGTCACATGAAACGGCAAACTGTTTCAAGAACATCTGGTCCGTTACAAGTATTATTCCATTTAAGCAATTCAAAAAGCGTAAAGGCAATTTACTTATTAAGCATGACTGAGGCTGTGCAAAGGACTGTGCCTTGTGATGAAAGAGGTATAGACACAAGGATGAGGGAGCTGAAGAGAAAACAGTCCATTGAGGGAGAGATTTGGCAGATTCGTGTGAGGTCCAATGTGGTTATTTGGCCAGAACTGTCCCACCTCTGAGCCCCAGGGCTATGGACCTCTGCAGGCCCCTATTCTTCCCATCTTTCTCCTTCCAAGCAAACCTGGGAAAGGGCAAGTGGCTGCCACCCAGTCATCATCCACCTCTTACTCTCACGACCTCCTCCGCAGGTCCCTGCTCTCCTCCATTTGCCTGGGACATACTCACGTTTCCTCCCCAGCCTAACTCCCTTCTCCTTACCCACCGCTTCTCCACAACCCACAAACCCTGCACACCCAGAGGCGGTCCTGGCGCTGTGTGGCATCTCCTCTGATTCTCACATCGCTCAGCTGTCTCTCCTGTCTCTGGGTCTCTGCTGTGTGCGGTCCACCTGGATTCTTGAGCTGTGCTCTCTGAATGGCAGCATCAGCATCACCTGAGAACTTGCTGAAATGTAACTGGTTGGGCTCCAACCCAGACTCATTAAAACAGAAACTCTGGGGAGGTGGGTGGGAAGGCACAGTGATCTGTTTCCATGAGGCTGGCGGGAATTCTGAGGCACAACAAAGTCTGAGAACCGCTGTTGTGTATCCTTCCACTGCACAGCATTTCCACCCAGGTCCATCTGACTCAAGTCTGCGTGGGCTGAAGCCCATCTCATGCGCAGTTCTTCAACAATACCAAAACTCAGCTGTCGTGTCTATAAGGCGCTGGGCCAGACTCTCATAGTAACTCTCATTTCTTCTGGGTAACTGTGGCTTTGGAAGCCCACCATGTCACCAGTCTTCCTGGGTAAGTGTGGCCTTCAAAATGTGACATATGTATAAATTTATCTCCCCAACTTGATGTTACATTATTCAGGGTAGGAACTATGTTCTAGCCTTCTGGACACTGGTCACAGCAGATATTCCATAATTATGACCAAAATTATATGTGTGTGTGTA